TCCTATCTATTATTATATACAATTGAGACATTTACAAGTGTAAAACCTTAATCCTGCTAGGTCATTTAAGGTGATCTAAGGAGGGATGATTTGGATTTCGCGCAATCAAATGGATATGATTCACGATGTAATTGAAGTTCACTTGTCTCTCGATAGATTATCTCATCCTGGGTGAACTGTAGTTTTGACCTCACCTTTGCCTCATTGACACTTCAATGGGATTCGATGCCGGTTTGGTAGTATCGTGGCAACGTTACCAATTCTGAATTAGATAAGCTTTTTGGAAGTAGGCCTAAGTATAATTTGCTTGCATCATGGGTCCTACTCATATCATTGTCGGAAAACTCAACTAGCCGTCATTACATCGACTTAAGAGACCTAGACTGACTAAGTTATCACAATAATTATTGATAGCTTTCAAAGCTGCCTTAACCGAAAATCACAACTTATATATAGAAGATCAATAGTTAATAGATTTTACAAAATTTATAAAGATGGGCTGTATCATAACCCAAACATAGTTTGGATATGCTGAAATCCTTTATCACGACTGTATTTTCTTGTATTTATGTATTTTTCACTTAAGTATCAATATGTTCCTTTATTTAAGTTATTGTCACAGTTGTGGCAAATAAATGGGATGTGCTTGTCTGGTGAGTAGCCCTGCTTGCATCACGAGTCTCTGTTGCTCAGTATTTTTTTCGATTATATGATTTTTTTCATAATCATAAATGCGGTAGCAGAGACGTATAAGCCACCTAACTAGGTTTCTACACCATCGACAGATATTAGGTACAAGCACTGGCCACCCGTTATCATCTAAGATGATAGGAAAAGCGTTAGTTGAAATTTCCTTAACGAAATGCCATGTCGACGGCTACATTGACTAGGCATACTGTTCCGCCTATAGTGCGGATAAAACTCAAGCGATGTAGAATCTCCCTGATGTAAAGCGAGGTCGAAAGTGCAGTCCACTCTGGATGAGAATAACTTATGGGAATTCAAGTTTATGTGAAATCCAGTGAAAAAGTCAGCTCTACTTATAGCATTGTGTGAAAATTCAACTACCAGTTCTTTATAGTCCTAAACGAAAAAGGGTGAATACATCTCATATTAGTTAACTTTATTTATATCTTTAAAGCTTTACTCATTTCTACGCGGATAATTCAACTTTTCTTTGCTAAATCACCTCAAGCGACCTTGGGTGGCACGAGTTCCTACACCATAAATCGGTTTGACCTCTAATTGCCTACACAGGTCACTAAGCCGAATTTTCATAAAGTGTTGAGCAGTCCAAATTAATGACATTTCCTAAAATTTTGTCACTCATGCGTAAATCATATTAAGTCAATATCATTGTAGCATCCTAACCAGCTCGAAACTAATTTACTCTGTGTAGGAGAAGAGAACTCTCAGAAAGCCATTAAATGAATGAGAGTTGAAAAATAAATCCTATGCGGTTCTACTATGAATAGCAATTGCACTTCAAGAATTATTTGACCCAATTAACTTTTTTAAGTTGCAGATTCTGTAGACATCTATATCTTGTTAGTTAGCAATCTCGGCTTTCTTCTCATGAGTAATTTGTAGAGTACGAAGTACTATTATCACACATTGCAGCGCTGTAAAGGTAAAATTTTTACCCTAGAGATGCTGGTGAATTTCTTCCGTTTTTCAGGTTTGGATTTAATGCTGATTAATACACATTTTAATACTTTCATTTAAGTCGAAAGGATGGGTGTTATAAAAGACGGATTTTCATTCCTTATAATTGTCTGTAACAAGTTATTCAAATCGAAGATACGACTACCAAGATGTGGCCTCTATTTTGGTCGCAGTCTTCCTGCCAATATGATCAAGTTGTGTAAACAAAGTCAAACAGCTACTAAGTTATTTTAATGTTATCTTACCATTTTAATATAGATTGAGTATTCCGACCCAGATTGTATTTAATATTAACATGCAGGAATGTGACTTTAAGGTAGGTTTTCCCCAAAGAGCATAATATATGACCGAATAATTTTCTTACTTATCACCTCATTCTCTTCCCGGTTATGACAAAGACGCTCACGCTGCCCGGAGTGATTGAACGAATTGACAGTCGCGGTTTCATTCACATTCTCTTGCCTCAAACTGGCCATCGTCTGGCGCTTACTCCGCCTGCACCTCCAAATGGCTTGAACGCTACTGCGACCACAGCTCCCGTCTCCTCAACCTTAACGGCAGTGGCCACTAGCATGTCAGCCGGTCATTTGCCCGCGACTACCGATCGGACTCCTTTGCGGTCAGTGAGGCTGGACACTGAAGCCTACGGCCAGGCTGGACTGCGCCCATCGAATCATCATCCCCATCATCTACATCAATTGCTGCAGCAACCGCCTCGTCCAAATCAGCATCAGCATCGTGCTCACCACCATCATTGTCACCAACAACAGCAACATCAACACGGTAGCGCTCGGCCTATCTTCACATCAGATTCTGGTGCAACAAACAGTGGTTTGTCGAGTGACAATTACCGTTTTGTGACTCACTCAACAAACTCCACTTTCCCTTCTTGCTCTGCGATCGCAATGAACACTAATGGTCATCAAGCTAATCAGGATTATCTTCAGCATTTCATTCAGCAGGCCCAATGTGAGGCCCAGCATCACCGGCATATCCATCATCATCACCATCAGCAGCAGCAGCAGCAGCAACAACAACAACAATCGGGTAGGCTTATTCATAGAACTGTTCCATTGGAGCTATTACCTCGCTCCTCCCTAGGCAGTACCAACCTTGATGACCTTCTTTTGACCGCCTCATATCGAAATCCAATGCCTTCTCAGCCTGACGCCTCCACTGGAGAGGCGGATACACCCCACCAAACTTGTGAGCTTTATTTTATTTTTTCTTGCCTCATGCATACCAGATACCAATCCCCATAGGATGCTCTCTACACACCCACAATAAGACAAAGTTAGCACAAGGACTAAATGCGATATATTTGAGTTTTATACACTTTTACTTCCTTAGTTTACAGCCATTGTGACTGCCTGCTGGGTTGGAGTACAATAGTATTCACTTTAAAATTGGTTCTTTGTGAGCTCGTAAAAAGGGGATAATATATATCAATTATAGCAAATTATACTGATAGAAAACGAATTAATTCATATAGTCGAAAGTATGAAGACCAAGATGGTGGGGCCTTTTGTGTGATCGCAGTCTCCTTTCGTTGTATAGAAGTTGTTTGACCGTGTTTTCGCAACTCGGTCTTATTGGTAGGAAGACTAAGAGGAGCGCACCTAGT